TCTTTCCCTGTGTTCTGTCTCAGACCTGATTCTTTCTCCTCATCTTCTTGTGCCCAGCTCAAGAGTCCCACCGCCACCCAGGACCAGCTCCTCTTGTCCCTGGATCTTCTGATTGGCCCCAGAAGGTACTTGGTGGAAAATCACCCAGCTAGACCCGCTCCTCTGATTTCCTGCCTTGCTGGTCTCGAAGCCCTGCTGACCACATCCTCTCTCACCTTACTTACATACTTCCTCATTATTCACATGAGCCAGGACTTCTCAGCCCCCAAAACCTCTTACTGACCCCCACTCAGGCCCTCTGCCTTACCCTCTCCTCTTACCGCAGGCTTTCTATTCTTCCCTTCTACCCCACACTGCTCTTAGAACCATGTCTCTCTGCCTGCAAGCAGCCACTCCTATCCTTTTCTGGATCTCCCTCACCCCTTTTTCCCATAGGTGACAGTACCGACGACAATGCTATCGAGCAGGTGGTGGCCAAGTACCTGGGGAAACCTAGGGCTGGGGACCCGGAGCCCTTCTCGGGGATCCCAGCTCTGTGCCCTGTATGCCTTCACTTACACTGGGGCAGATGGCCGGCAGGTGTCTCTGGCTGAAGGGGACAGGTTCCTACTGCTTCAAAAGACCAACTCAGACTGGTGGTTGGTAAGGCGCCTGGGAACACCCTCCACCTCTCACCCCATCTTCATCCCAGCTGCCTACATGACAGAGGAATTCAGCCCTTCCCAGAGCCCAACAACCATCACCCCCAGCCAATCCCTCTGGACTCTTGGTGAGTAAGTCCTCCCCCGTCACCTTCCTACCTCCCTGGCTTCTGGGAATTATTGGAAAGATCCCCTTCCCCGAAGCTTTTGCTAATCCTCTATTCCTACCCCTCATCCCCACCATGGTGTCCCTATCACCTCTCCTTCCTAGTCTTAAGCCTTCTAGATCTCATGTAATTTTCTACCTGCTCTTGTCTTCCCTGTGAGCCCCCAAGATCAGGGACCCAGCCAAGACCCATGGGGGGACCCTGCCCCCAACTCTTCCCATTTTTCTGTTTCCAGGGCCAAAGTTATTTCCTGGCTCCCTGGAGGAGATGCACCTGTGTCAGGAAGCCCCAGGCAGAGCCCAGGCTACATCTGAGCAGCCTCCTCCTCTTCCCCCTAAAATGTGTAGAAGTCTCAGTGTTAGCAACTTGAGGCCAAGCCTCCTGAAGCCCTTCCAGAAAGGACCAAGTAGAAGATTCCTTTCCCAGGAAGACTTGCTGGCAGACGCCGATGCGAACATGGTGAGTCCTAGTGCTTCTTCTGAGCAGTCAGTCAACAGACATTTACTGCTGGGCTTAGTTCTAGGCACATTAGCAAACAGGACAGACAGAATCTCTGCCCTCAAGGGATTCCCATGAGGATGATGAACACATAAATACGATAGCCCTTGGTACTAATAAGCACTACCAAGAAGCTAAATGTGGTGGAGGATGAATGAAATGGTCTAGGAATGCATCTCTGAGGAAATGACATTTAGTTGAATCTGAATAAGGAGAGACAGCCCTGAAACAAATGAGGAGATGAGAAGGAATTCTAGCTGAGGGACAGCAAGTAGCAAAGATGCTGAGGGCACGTGGAACCTGCAAAATGAGAGGGACTGAAAGGCCAGCTTAGCTTTGCTTCTGTCTCTCAGCCTCTTGACTCCTGGCCCAGGGCAGGGTTTTTTGCTGTGTCCTGTCTTGCTAGCTCAGGTCACCAGCAAGTTTCCTCTAGAGATGGAACTCCCTTGATCTTCCTGAAGATTCAGCCCCTCCCCTCTCTCTTACTTACTAGTGGGTGAAAAAAGGCCCCTCCTCTCTCACACTCCGCTAGCAGGGGCCTCTGACCCCTCTCTGTCTCCTTTTACTCTGGAGGATGTGAGGGTGTGACGCTCCTCTCGACCCCTCCCTCCATACACACGGAAAGCCTGTTCCCCTTTCCTGAGGTCCTCTGGTGGGGGTGGGGTGGGGGAGGAGGGAAGTTGGCAACAGGAAGTGAGGAGAAAAGCAAAGACTGTGAGGGAGGGAGTCAAAAAAAAAAAACAAAACAGAAAAAAAACAGCTGCAGGAGACTAGGGTTTCTTCCTCAGTACCTGGGTCACCCCAGCCAGGAGGTGGTGGTGAGAAAATGGTGGGGGAGAGAGGAGGAGGTGGTTAGGAGAGAGAAGATCGGGGAGGGGCACAGGTAGAATAACCACCTCCTTCCTCCCCCTTTCCTTGCAGGCGAGACCCCAGACCTTCATGTCAGAGCCCCCCGTGTACTGCAACCTGGTGGACCTTCGCCGCTGTCCCCGGTCCCCACCCACAAGCCCTGCATGTCCCCCGCTGCAGAGGCTGGACGCCTGGGAGCAGCACTTGGACCCCAACTCTGGACGCTGCTTCTACGTAAATTCGCTGACTGGCTGCAAATCCTGGAAGCCTCCTCGCCACACTCGCACCCGAGAGATGGTGAGACCTTCCCTCCTGCTTGTCCCTTGTCCCTTCAATCTCCTTCTTTCCCCTACTGATCCCCAAAGTAGCATGTTTTCTCACTGGGACTCTCAGAAGATCAGACAAATCAAAAAATTGTTGAGAAGCGTGTCGAGAGCCGATTGAGGTGGCATCTGGATGGAGTTTTGCCCTTCCCTCTCCCCAGAACCCTGGCTCCATGGAGGGACCACAGACCATGAATAAGGACAACGGTGTCCTGCAACCTCAGGCAAAGGACTCAGAATCTGGCACAGGGACGCCAGGACTTTTCGACTCCCAGGTGAGATTCCCCCCCCATCACATGCAGGAAAAGCCATCGTTTTAGACTTTTATGCAAGACCTTCTTCTTCAGTACCGCACCACACCCCCGACTCACACCCCACATCCGCACCCCTCTTCCCCCTACAGCCAGGGACTCCGAAGTTAAAGTTTCCTCCACCTGTTTCTCCAATCCCCTCCCCCAGGGTTCACCCTCCCTCTGCAGACTCGCCTCCCAGCTCGACCCCTCAGACCAGCCTTCAGCTCTGCAGTCCCCTCGGCCCCTGCCGCAGGTCCTGGACGACCCCCATGTAAGTCTCCCGTTTCCTTGTGAACGCGAAGATCCTCCCTGCCCAGCCCCCAGTTCTTGCTCCTTCAGAAAGGTCTTCCTCTTTCTTTGCGTTCTCTGGGTATCCTCTCTTACCGAGCACCGCCCGCTCAACTTTAAAGGACCTCACTCCAGGGAGATCCCCTGGGGAAAGCCATGGTGACTGTGGGGGGCTCCGGGTGGCTTATTGATACCTTTCCTTCCTCTTGCCAGGAGGTGGAAAGGTCGGGCATGCTCAACATGACGAAGATCGCCCAGGGTGGCCGCAAGCTCCGGTGAGAACTGGGGACGCAGCAGGGGCGGAGACTGTCGGATTCCGCGGGAAGCGCCAAGCGCTGGGCCCTCGCGGACGCGAATGTAAATGACCTCTGCACTATTATCACTGCCCCCGCCGCCCCTGCAGGAAGAACTGGGCCCCATCTTGGGTAGTACTAGCGGGTAACAGCCTGGTGTTCTACCGAGAGCCACCGCTGACCGCCCCCTGCACCGTCTGGGTGAGTGTGAGGGAGGGGAGCAGCGGGGGGCACGAGGGGTTCCGGCACAACTTCTGCAGGCCTCAGGCCTCCCGTGGGCGGGGAGGGGGGGGAGGGCACGTCGAGAGGAAGGAGCGCAGCCTCCCGTGTCCTCGCAGTCCACCGGGTGAGAGGGAGGCCCTGAGGGGAACAGCGCCGTGGCCTCAGTTTCTCCCCGAATCGCCAGGGACCAGCGGGTAGCCGACCCGAAAGCAGTGTGGACCTGCGCGGGGCCGCCCTGGCCCATGGCCGCCAGCTGTCCAGCCGCCGCAACGTCCTACACGTGAGCGCTCTCCCGCTCATCCCCGAAGCCCCGCCCGGCCCGAGGGTGCGCCCCCAGTTTCCCTCACGGGTCTCCCGCTGGGCCTCCCTGCTCTTTATGCTCCTTCCCGCTGACTCAAGCCCTTTCCCCGCGGGCCCCTCAGATCCGCACGGTCCCTGGCCACGAGTTCCTGCTGCAGTCAGACCACGAGGCCGAGCTACGTGCCTGGCACTGCGCACTGCGGGCGGTCATCGAGCGCCTGGTGAGATGGGTGGGAGGTGGCGGGACAGTGACCCGGGAGAGGCTCAGGCGGGCAGAAGGAGTGGAGAAGGAACTGTAGGATGTGGGGTGGGGAGGGACAAGGTGGCAGGTAGAGCCCTGGGGTGGGCCTGGGATGTGTGGGACCCCAGCAGCCGGCAAGGGGGGTGCAGATTTCTCTCCTAGCTGTCTTCCAACCTCTGATTCGGCCCATCTTGCTGTGCGGATCTAGGATCGAGAGAACCCCCTGGAGCTGCGTCTGTCCTGTTCGGGACCTGCGGAGCTGGGGGAACTGAGCGCGGGGGAGGACGAAGAAGTGGAGTCCGAGCCGGTGTCCAAGCCACTGCTGCGGATCAGCGGCCGTCGGAGCTCCAGTTAAGGGGCAGGCCTGGTGGGTGGGGTCTGGGGGCTTTTCCCTGCTCCTCGGAGCCACAGTCGCCGCGGCTGCTCTCATGCTCAGATTCCACTTGCTTCCACAGGTCGGTGTCCGGAGGGAGCTGAGCAGAACCGGGTACGAAACAAACTAAAGCGGCTTATCGCAAAGAGACCGCCCTTGCAAACCCTGCAGGAGCGGGGTCTGCTCCGAGGTGAGATGGGCTGGGCCACCTAACGCCCTTCTTCGTGCCTGCTTTAGTGTTTTTGCAAGCACTTTTATTTACATTCCGGATCTCGGCATCAGCCCATTTCATGGATGAGAAAACTTCAGCGAGGCTCAGAGTAGAGCTTCCCAGAACTAGATCAGCAGACTTCTGAGACCACTGCTTTTCCCCACTGCAGCTGATTGTTGGGCGGAGGGGGTATACTTCCTTGCCCAGACCTGGAACAGGCAGGCAGGAGACCCAGCCCAACTTTGGGGTGAAGACCCGTGCTAGAAAGAGCTTTCATGGGTGACGCTGTCACTGGCTCCCCACCTCACTCTGTGCCTCCCCAGACCAGGTGTTCGGCTGCCAGTTGGAATCACTGTGCCAGCGGGAAGGGGACACTGTGCCCAGCTTTGTGCGGCTCTGCGTTGCTGCTGTGGATAAAAGAGGTCACTTTCCCAGAGACCCCAGAATCTCCCCTTCTAACAGGCCAAGGCCCAGAACTCCCCACCTCCCCCATCCTAGTCTTCCTTCTGCCCTTTTTTCACTCTACCCTCAGATCCCTCACCAGCACACACTTTACAGCAAGAATCCTTATCTGCTCCCTGCCTTATCTCCTAGGTCTAAATGTGGATGGCATTTACCGGGTGAGCGGGAACTTGGCAGTGGTCCAGAAACTTCGCTTCTTGGTGGACAGAGGTGAGGTGGCTGTGGGCAGGTGTGGTACTAAGAACTTCATGTATCAGAATCACAGGTGGTTCTGAGTGAGGGAGCTGGCAGAAAAGGAACGTCTTCTGTCTTGAGCTACATGTCTTAGCGCTTGATCTCTTCTTATACATGTTGCAGAGCGGGCGATCACCTCCGATGGGAGATACGTGTTCCCAGAACAGCCAGGACAAGGTACTTACATGAAGGGCCCCTCAGACCCTTAAAAGTCACCCACATCATCCCTGCTCCCCATGAATTCCCCTGTGTCCTGCTTCTGGGGGGTTGTCCCCATCCTGATTTCTGCCGTCTTGCCCCACTGTGGACCCCTTAGGCAT